AAATTTTGAGCCCTTGCGGTAACCTCATCCAGGTCAGTTGTCTGCTAATGCCTTCTGTTGGGTCAGTCCATTCAAAGGCAAACAGGTCCTGGCTTTTTGGGGCCAGTGGTAGGCTGAAAAAAGCATCTTTAAGGTCTAAGACTGAGTACCACTGGTGATCCGGGGGTAAAGAACTAAGGAGAGTGTATGGGTTAGGAACAGTAGGATGAATGTCTATGACCCGTTTATTGACCTCTCGGAGGTCTTGCACTGGTCTACAGTCATTGGAATGAGGTTTCCAAACAGGGAGTAGAGTAGTGTTCCACGCAGACTGACAGGGTCGGAGTATTCCTAGTTTTAACAGGCGCCGGATGTGAGGAGTTATACCTTCTCGGGCTTCTCCTGACATAGGGTACTGTCGGACACTGACTGGGTCCGTTCCAGGTTTAGTTTCTACATAAACCAGTGGTCTATGTTTTGCTAACCCTACACCTCCAGTTTCAGCCTATGCTTTGGGAAAAGCTAATAGCCACTGTTTTATGGCTTCAGACAGAGGAGGAGGGGATTGCTGGTGGAGCCTATATTCATCTTCCAGGTTCACAGTTAACACGTGAATGGTCTGGCCCTTACTGTCTATAACAGTTGCCCCTCTTTTTTGAAAGTGGATTTGTGCCCCTATTTTGGTCAGTATATCTCTCCCGAGAAGTGGATAAGGGCACTCTGGAATTACCATGAACGAGTGGGATACTCATCCCACACCGAGATCTACTGTTCTTCGGGTAGTCCATGAATATTGTTTTGTTCCTGTGGCTCCTTGAACCAGGAGGTTTTATTAGACAATTTCCCTTGAGGTTTAAGTAAGACTGAATGTTGCACCCCGGTGTCTACCAGGAAATCAATTGGGGTCCCCTCCACTCTTAGGGTTACCCTGGGCTCGGGGAGGGGGACCGAACCCCATCACCCCTAATCACTGAGTTCTCCCAATTCTAGTACCTTAGTCTGTGGTTTAGGAGTCTTTTTATTTGGGCACTCTTTTGCCCAATGTCCACTTTCCTTGCAATAGGCGCACTGATCCTTTCTCAGTTTAGGGCGTCCTCCCTTGAGGGGATCCCCCTTACCTCGGTATTTTGCAATTTTCTGCAGTTGCTGTTCTCTTTCTCGGGCACTCCCGGTTGTTGAGGCGAGTAAGATTTTTGCAAGGTTCCGAGTGTTCCGGTCACTGGCTGCCGCTAGTGCCTTGGCCTGTCGGTCCTCTGGACTTTCCCTATGGTTATAAACTCTCTCTGCAACTAACATTAAATCCTGAATACTTTTTTCATTTAGTCTGTCAATTTTCTGTAATTTTCTCCTAATGTCTGTGGCTGCTTGATTTACGAAGGCCATGATTAGTGCGACCTTAGTTTCAGGTGCTTCTGGATTCACGGGGGTATATTGACGAAATGCGTCCATTAATCTTTCTAAGAAAGCAGCCGGACTTTCATCCCCCTTGCTGTACGTCACCTACCTTAGCCAAATTGGTGGGCTTCCTTGCGGCTGCCCTGAGACCTCCCATTAGAGTCTGGCGGTACACCCGGAGTCTCTCCTTACCTTCAGCCATGTTGTAGTCACAGTTAGGACAGGTCAGAGGGAAGGTGGCATTAATCACATCTATATTAGTAGTGGGCTGCCCGTTATCCCCCAAGACAGATTTCCGGGCTTCCATCTGGATTCTCTCATGTTCCTCAGCAGTGAATAAAATTTGGAGGAGCTGTTGACAATCGTCCCAGGTAGGCTGATGAGTAAACAAAATAGTCTCTAGGAGGTCAGTTAAATCTCTGGGATTATCTGAGAACTTGGCATTCTGAGTTTTCCAATTGTACAGGTCACTAGTGGCAAAAGGCCAATAGTGAAGCTGCTGGTTGCTGGTTGCGTCTGCGGGCCCTTCAGCTCGCAATGGCAAGACCGTGGAATCTGCTGGTCCACTAGAGGGGGCTGCACGTTGCATTCTTCCGCGGGTGCCTGCTGCCAGTCCTGTGTCTGCCATTGCCCCGCCGCCATCTGGCACTTGGGGCAATGCACCTTCTCCAGCTGCAATACCTACTGAAAGGGTTTGGTAAGGGGGGGGGAGGTCTTCCTCTGCCCCACCCTGAAAGACTGGGTAGGTCAGTGCCGAAGGTTTGACTTCAGGTTCTTTCTTCCGGGCAGTATAAGGTTTCACTGCCAGGACCGGTTTAGGTGCCTGTTTAGAAAGAGGTAACAATGGCTTTAACCAAGGAGGTGAGTTTTCCACTAAATCCTGCCATGTGATAATACATGACCACTGATCAGATTGTCCCCTGCTGGACTAGAACACAACTTCTTTCACCTTTAAAATAATTTGAAGATTAAATGTACCTTCAGCTGGCCATCCTACGTTGAATGTTAGCCATTCTGAGTTACACAATGTGACAAATTTTCCTTTTTTTTATTTCTAAACTTAAGTTGTGTGCCCTTTGTCTAACTTCCTTAAAATTGTCAGTCAGGAGAGAAAGAGGAGTCATCACAGTTTGTCCCATTCCGCCCATCCACTGATTATACAAAACCAAAGACACTGATATCAACCAGACAAACACACAAAGAGACCAACAAAATATGCCTCCCGTAGATTGGAAGCAAAACTGAAAATAGGACGACAGTCTCACACTGTACCGCGGGAGCAACCCGCTTCGTCCCTTTACAGGTCCCAGAATGGAGGACGACTTTTATCTCCTCCCCAGGTTGAAGGTTTTTTTTTTTTTTTTTAATCCCCTTCCAGAAGAGGAGGCCCTGGAATGTCTTCTAGGTCCTCTGGCTGACGGCCCACCTGTGCGTCCACTTAGGCCAAAATCAGCTCTACAGAAAATGGGCCCAAACAACACACGTAGACAAACATCAAACATTTAAACACTTACCAGCTGGCTGCAACCCCCTGGTTCGGGAGTCCTGGGGTATCTGGGGATCCCGGACAAGCCCCCAAATGTTGCGCCCAGACCCTGTTTCCCCAAAGACCACCAAGGAGCCAATTCCACTGACAAAGCATAGGGGTTGTTTATTCAAGCTCGAGCTCGGACCCTCAACCGTCACCGATGCAGCGGTTCAGGATTGAGAGTGCCCAACTCAGGAGTAATGGGGTTAATACAGGGGTCTCAATCAGGAACAAGGAAATTTTAATTAGAAAATTACAGGATTGGTTGACATTTTCCAAGTTGCTATTTGTGCCTACTTGATTGGCTCTGTCTAGTGGGCTGAAGCCACCAACTGGGGTTTCTAGGTAAGGTATGTCTGTGCTATCTACTGATTGGTTGTTGTTAAGGAGTGTGTTTGAGGGTATCGATGAAGTAGTTAGGTGTGGGGTAGCTAGGACTCTTTGTGGTTTTTCCAGTAACTAAAGCACTAAAGCGTGAAGTACGTGCTGAGGCTTTTTGCACAAATGGCTACTTATTCAAAATGGTCACATACAGGGTGTTGGTTATATAGAAACATAATCACATACAGAATGGTGGCTATATAGAAACATAATCACATACAGAATGGTGGCTATATAGAAACATAATCACATACAGAGTGGTGGCTATATAGAAATATAATCACATACAGAGTGGTGGCTATATAGAAACAATCTCATGCTTTCACACTTTCATCAGTATGTAATTAGAGAGCATATAAGATCTATAAAATGAACTGAGCAAATAAACTTTTAAAAATGTATTCAAAAGTAAAATTGAAAACTTGAATCTTCTCTAAAAGGAAATGTAGTACACAAGAAGAAGAAAGGAACCTTTCTTCCCTTAAATATTGATACAATAGAGTAGAAATTAAGGTGTTCATTATTAAGTAGTACCACATTGAGAAGATTGGTTGGATAAATTCTCAACCACTTCCATCTCAGGTTAATATAGATATCTTTGGATACTTCCAGAATACTGCCTCATATCTATATGATTGGGTTGTCTATGGAAATAAGGACCTCCATCATGAGCCACCTTGGGGCCCTTTCATACTTGAAGGATTAACGTCCCCCCACCAATCATTTTAGCAGTCAAAAACAGATATTATCAATTAGTCCTTCAGGAGGGCAAAGTGTTCGAAGGGTGAGGTGGCTAAGGTAGGAACCACTCAAGTTTGTTGCAGGTATCCATTTGATTGAATCAGGTTTGCCAAAAATTTGACTTTGTTTCATTCTCTCTGGCCTTCAAAAACAATTTAACTGAGAGAAGATTATTCCTTTGCTCTGAGTCTCTTTCAAGGTTTCTTCATAATACTAGATTACCCCTGCTGCACATTACATTTATTCATTCCTTTACTTTCAGCTATTATTTCACCTTCCTTCCATTTATCATTTATTTCTACTTAAACTTTTTCACTTGGAAAGGGTCATCAGGTTCAGCTGCTGTGCCAGTCCAGATTGCTGGTAGCAAAACCAGTCTAGCAAATGCAACCCTCTCAGTTCACTGCTATTCATATTGAGTAGATTTATATAAGTATAATACTAGTGATCAGTACAGTGGTATCCACAATCAATCCCAACTATGTCAGATGAGAGGAAGACATAATCCATCTCACCAGGCCCTACACAGGGTCAGGGGTGTAGTTATAGTGTCTTGCTTAGGCACCTGCAGATGCATCACTGGTCCTATGACTGCAGCTTTCAGCAGGAGATATGCTGTGGTAGTTAAGGTTGTTGTCAACTTGGCTGGCCCTAGTTGAGTGGCTGGACAGCTGGTGGTAGTTATTCCCCATGATGAGACTGGCAATCAACTTCATGGAGGAATCTGCTGAGAACTGCTGAGTAGCTGCTTTAGAGATGTGGTCTGCTTCCCATATTTAAGAAGGAGCTTTGGGATTGGTATCTAGTCTTTTGACATGCTTGAACACTGCATGTAGCTAAGTCATTGTTCAACAGCCTGCCATGCCCTACTGATCTTGGAATTTCATCTGGACTTGAATTAGTGGCCTGCCATGTTGTTTGGTGACATTGGTACTGTGCCTTTTTACTTGTAAACCTTGAGCTTGTCAGCCTCAGCAGCCAGCAGCTGTCTGAGTGAAGAAAAGCCTTGCGCTCCAGTAGGCTGGGGGTGGTAGGAGGCAGAGCAGAAGCCCAAGGTTGAGGGGCTTTCATACTAGAATGGCTTTATGTGATCAGTATTTTCTTCCAATGACATGCTTCTGTTTTGGTTACCTAGTACCACTCTAATAAAAATACCACAAATTGGATGGCTTGCACAAACAGGAGTTTATTCTCTTATAATTTTCGAGGATTTCAATGTAGTTCTGAGGTTGGTTCAGTGCTACAATATGCACCTACACAGACATTTTTCCCCTACAATTACAGTTATTACTGATAACAGAAACCAAGGAATTTTATGTCTTATGCTTTCTTTATCACTCTATTTCTATATGCATACAAATAGTCAATTCCTCAGGAGTTAGATCCACCACTTCTAATTCCCATGCATATCTTTTCCCCTGGGTTACTCATTGTAACACAACAGCTGCTTCAGTCCATGGGCATTTTTTTTTTTTTTTTCATCTTCTCCAGAAACCAAAGGTTTCTAATTTTTCTGTTTATCCCCCTTGTTTTCCCCAAAACCACATATGCAAGTGAGTCTGGGTCATTGCAGTAAACCTTATCATTCTGACACCAATTACATGAATAATGTGTTTCAGAAGGACCAGCACAAAGCTGCTTCCTATGAGGGGAGGCTGAAGATATCCCAAATGTCCATCTTTTCCTAATTGCTGTAGGACTCCATGATCTCTAACTACTCCATTAACATCAACTACTTCTGCTCCTATCAGTATTCCTCCTTTAGTCTTTGGATTCTGTAATTTGCTACAATGTCTCACAGAACTCAAAAAATGCCAAGGAAATGGTTTGTGTGGTTGTGGAGCCTAGAAAATACCAAATTCATGGATTAGACATCAGTTTGGAGGATTCCTGTCACTCAAGTTGTTGCAGGGGCTAACAAACCTAAATCAACAAGTCAGACAACAGCACATGGCTCATAAGGCTGTGGAAAGATGATAGGCAGCAGGCTCTAATCTCAAGAATTAGAGGTAAGCATGGTCACAGGGGACATCAAGTTTGATTGGCATAACATACTACACAAAACATCATTCCACATCGTTCTTTGCCAAGTAGCAACTGGGATCTTAAAAGCTTGCAAGCTGTCATCTAGATGTAATGATGAGTCTTTCCTCATCCAGAACAAAGAAGAACGAAGCAAACCAAAGACACATGGAAACAATTAGTCTAGGTGACTGGTCCACCATGCGATACTCAGCGTATAATATTATGTGACCAGAAAAAGGAGATGGTGCCTGACTACCACTGTCAACTGCTCAGAGGGAAAAATCTGTGTAGGAGATCCTGGAATGAGTGAGAGAATAATGTGGAACAAAACTCAAAATCATTAAAAAAAGGGGGACCAGGTTTTTTGATCTGATAATGCCTGGTGAAACCTTGAGACTATGGCCCCTAGCTGTTCTTCAGGTCTGGAATTGGAACCACTCCTGTAGCCTCCAGCCAAACAAAAGACTCATTTATGAACTGAATATTTACATTAGGTAGATCACTCCTTAATGAGATAAATCATGGGATAATAGAAGGGCTATGTTTGCACAGGGAGAAAGCTTGGGGGCAAGAGTGCATGGGAGGGAAGGACACAGGAAAGAGGTAACTATGGGGAGGAAGTGGGAGCGGAGCCGTGGCATTGTGAGAAATTGTAGTCTATGTCATGAGACAAAGTATATATGAACTTCTGTATGGAAAATGAATTTGTTCTGTAAACTTTCACATAAAT